TCTTCTGACATCCATTTTGGTCTTTTCTTCCTTTTCTCTCTTTGTAATGACCGTTTGCACTCTACCTGGATGATACCTTTGACATCCTCCCATAACTCATCTGGTCTTTGCTCATTAGTGTTCAAGGCCTCAAACCTGTTCCTGAGATGATTCCGACATTCAGGTGGTATGAAATCAAAGTCATATTTTGGCTCCTGTGGATTTGGTTTAATTTTCCTTAGCTTCAGCTTGAACTTGCATATGAACTTGTGGTCTGTTCCACAATCAGCCCCTGGCCTAGCAAACCAATATAAAATAAAAATTTTATTTAAGAAAAAACAACTCGCCTATCCATTCCCTGAGTCTGCCATGTGGATGGGCAGAAATATGTGAATATGGGGTATTAGCCTGTCCACAAGGGGACTGGTGAGTCTCACTAATCCACAAAGGGATTGCTAGTCTCATCAGTTCACGAAAGCAATGGTTAGTACTGCTACTAAATTAAGTGGATCCTGTAGCAGAAAGAAGGTATTTCCCACCAGGAAAAGAGCAAGAAGAGAATGTACTGTTCTCTTCAGAGCCAGGTATTTATGCCAGAAAGACAAAGAGGGCCTGCAGGAGGAGCAGCCATAGTAGCCACAGTGGAGAACCTGACATGAGATGGAGAACTAGAGACCCCACATGAGATGGGACCTTGAGACTGCTACACCATTGGAACCAGAGCTAAGAGTCTTTGTCCAAGTTTGTTGGACAACTGGGAATAAGGGGCCATAATTCAATGGCCTGAGAACTTAGTGGCGTTAGGTTAAAGCCATAGGCTAAAGGCTGAGTCTGCGAGCACATTTCTAAATTGTCCTGACTGTATTCTGCTACTAACCTGAATTATAGCCTTCTGACTTCACCAGTATGGTTCTGCGTGGTCTGTAAGCTATCACATGCGATTTTAGACCCCATCTTCAAAGGCAGATGGGCCTGCGCCATTTTAAACCAAGGTCAAGCTGAACAGGTTTAGAATTGTAGCCAGAATAGGAGCCACAGTTCCCCAAAGGTCCCTAGGACCCCAAATGTGCAAAAACAAATGGTGGATCTCATTTTCCTACTCTTGTATTTGTATCAAGTACTGAGAAGTCTGTGATGGGAGGGAACATAGTCTTCGCAATTGCTTACTATGTGTCAGAGAGCTGGACAATGACTAGGGATGATAGAACGAGAATTGATGCCTTTGAGCTGTGATGCTGGAGAAGAATGCTGAATATACCATGGACTTCCAGGAGAACAAATAGGTTCATCCTAGAGAGAGTGAAGTCAACCTGCTCCTTGGAGGCAAGGATTTTGAGGCTTTGTCTGACAAACTTTAGACATGCTGTAAGGAGGAACCTGGTCCTTGGAGAGGGACATTGTGCTTGGAAGGGTGGAGGGAGGAAGAAAGGGAGAGAGAGCATCAATGAGATGGATGGATACAATGGCTAGGGTAATGAGGGTAGGTGTGTCAGAGACAGTAAAGTTGGCACAGGCTAGAGCAGGTTTCAGGGCTGTTGTACAGAAAGAAGGTCCCTAAGAGTTGCAAGGAACTTGACGGCATATAACAACAACAGTAATCAGAATCAGAGGGCAGAATTTTTAGGTATTACTCTAAGCAAGAGCCAGTTTACTGTAAAAAGTAAGACATGAAAACAATATATGAAGTTAATTTCACTCAAGGACTGTATCTTCCTACCTTTGTTAGTCTGAAAGATATTAAGAAATCTTAAGCTTGTCACAGAAGATCATTCATTTTCACAATTTTTAAAAATATTAACCATAATAAGCAAAGCACTCCTTAAAAAGAGAAACAAAGTAGGAGGCATCTCACTCCCTGATTTCAAATCACTACTACACTGCTACTGTGGTCAAGACAGTATGGTTCCGGTACAAAGATAGACACATTGATCAATGAAATAGATTGAAAACCCAGAAATCAGCCCATCTACCTACGGTCAACTGATTTTTGGCAAGGAGATGAATCTGTTAAGTGGGAAAACAACAGCCTTTTTAACAAATGGGTTGGCAAAATTGGAAACCTATCTGAAGAAAACTCAAGCAAGATCCACACCTCACTTCACACACAAGAAACAACTCAAAGTGGATCAAGGACCTAGGACTAAAAATCAAGGGACTATAAACTTCATTAGAGAAAAGCTTTGAAGAACTCTGGAAGCCTTAATCCCAAACATAAATAGTCTTCCAAACATCCTGAAAAATATACAACCAGGAGAGGATAAAATAGATGAATGGGACCTTTTAAGAATCAAATCTCTATACATGTCCAAAAACTTCTACAACGGTAAAAAGGGAAGCCACAGACTGGGGAAAAAATAATTGGTAATGACATGTTAGATAAGGGACTTATATTTATAAACTCCTCAAACACCACAACAAGCTAAAGCTCAACAACCCAATTGAAAAACGGGCACAGAATATGTAGCGACCCTTCACCAAGGAAGGCATTCAGATGACAAACAAACACATGAAGAAATGTTCAAAATTCCTAGATCTAAGAGAGTTGCAAATCAAAACAACTATGAGATATCATCTCACCCCAATAAGAATAGTACAATTTAGCAGAACAGAAAACATCAAAGGTGGTGAGGTTGTGGAGAAACTGGAACCCTTGTTCACTGTTAGTGGGAGTGTAAAATGGTACAACCAATATTGAAGGCAGTATGGCACTTTCTCATAAAATTGGAAATAGAAATACCATTGGACCCAGTAATTCTACTACTGGGAATACACCCTAAAGAAACTAGAACTGCCACCAAAACAGATATATGCTCACCCGTGTTTACTGCAGCTTTGTTCACAATAGCAGAGTTGGAAACAACCCAAGTGCCCATCAACAAACGAATAAATAGAGAAGCTGTGGTATATTCACAAAATGGAATACTACGCTGCACTGAAAAACAGGAACTCTTTAAATACTATACAAAATGGGTGACCCTGGAGGACATTATGCTGAGTGAAATATCTCAATCACAAAAGGACAAATACTGTATAGTGATTATAAAGCGAGACTGACATCAGCGTTGGGGGGAAACTAAGAGGGGATAATTAATGTATACTGCATTGAAACAGATGAGGGAGAACTGTTTAGGAGAAATATATGATTAGGTATTATTGTCATGACAAGAGTCCAGAATGAAAGCTGCATAGTGGAGTGGAGACTAGTGAAGGTGTGGAGGGGAACTGTATAACAATGAACTTTTTTTTTTTTACTTTTCAAAAAGAAAAGCGGACTGGGGAAGGGGTGGGCAGGGAGAAAAGTGTGCAGCAATGTATGACTGGAAATCCAAAGTCTGTGTAAACTTTCATTAAAATTAATTTTAAAAAACTCTTAACCATAAACAAGTACTTTCTAAATTATTTAGTCTTTCAAATACCATTTCCAAAACCAAGCCATATTGATTCCAACTCATAATGACCCCAAAGTAGAAAAACAGTATGCTCTATAAAGGTTTCAATGGCTAAGTATCCTAAGTAGATAAAAATTGTAGCAACAAACAAATTATTTAAATATATTTACCCTAGACTACTTACCAGGTGTAGAAGTCAGATGACGAACAGGTCTAGCTGGTTGAAGCGGTTTACCAATCAATTTTTTTGTTTCCATTATCACAAAGATCCTGAGGTTCCATACTTTAGGAGGAAAAAAAAACCCATTAATTTTTGGACAAAATAACCAACATACTTTATTTTATATTGATATATACATACATACAGATCTAGGTACGTACCACAATGTGCATTTAAGAACATAAATTTTGTAAGGTAAGGTAAAAAAATGTAAGCGCGAAGAAGTACTTATTTAAAAAAGAAAAAGTATGCATACCACTCCTAATTCCTCAAAAAGAAATCACAAAGAATGTCCTGGGCAGAGTGAAAGAGAAATGTAGAGAAAAACTTAAAATCACAATAATGGCCAGATTTATTGGCCTGATGGAAGTGAAAAAAAAAACCCCTCCTATGGCTCTTAGCCACCTTTTGAATTTGGAACTGAACTCTCACTCATTATAGTAAAGTTATTAGCCAAATAGCAGACTAACACCAAAGATACCCGGTCTTTAGTATAATCAACCACTTAAAATCACAAAGAAAGTATTTGTCCAGTGCACCTGATCCAGTCCATGGTTTTCACAATCAGAGAGCTAGATAATGACTAAGGATGACAGAAAAAGCATTGATGTCTTTGAGCTGTGGTGCTGGAGAAGAGTCTTGAACATACTGTGGACTGTCAAGAAAACAAATAGGTCTTGGAGAAGGTGAAACCAAGTTTCTCCTTTGAGGCTAGGATTTTGAAGCTCTTACTTCAGGCATGTGGCCAGGAGGGTCCGATCCTTGAAGAACGATATCATGCTTGGAAGGACGGAGGGCCAGCACAGGAGAGAAAGACCAAAGATGAGATAGATTGATACAGTAACTTGGGCAATGGTGGTAGGTGTGTTGGAGTCAGTGATCAGGACAGGGCAGGCTTCAGAGCTGTTGCACACAGGGTTGCTATGAGTGGTAGGCAACACTACGGCACTTAACTACAACAACTACATACAATAACCATACCAAAAAGGGCAGGGGAAGGAATCAACCCATAAACTCACTGAGGTCAAGTAAAATTTTTACCCATAGTAACAGAGCAGAATAGTATTCCAAGACTGTAAATCTTTATAGAAATAGACTGTCCGTCCATATTCTTCCCATGGAGCAGCTGGTGGATTGAAACTACCAACCTTTCAATAGTACCTCAACAAATAAAACCTGTGCCATCAAGTCTTCTAGCATTAAGCCTTAAATCCTAACATAATAAAATGTGTTATTCTTGGCTATTTATGTTTTAAAACATTTTATTCCCATAGGTTTTCTGCTTCTATTCTTTTGTAGTTTATAGTCCCCCCTTTGATTGTTGGCAACTTAATTCTTCTGTCTTCCTCTGTTTTGAAATTAAATGTAGGAATTCTACCAAAAAGTACTGCCCTCTTAGCTAACCTCATCTATTCTCAAGCTGCAGCTACCTTATCTCAAGATAATTATGCCCTTGTTTGTATTTCCATTAATGACTGCTCTTAAATTTCTGTTCTATTAGGAAGAATGGACAAACTCCTTACGTGCAATTTACAGCCTCTGAAAACCCTGTGAAGGGTCAGCTATGAGTCAGTTCTTATTCCCCCACAAACATCATCATCATGAGGATGGCATGAGATAGGGCAAGGTTCAAATCTGTTGTTTATAGGATCACTCTGATTTATAGTCGGATTCACAGCACCTAACAACAACAAAGATATTTTCATTTTAACTTGTTGCTGTTGTCATTGTTAGATGCCTTTGAGTCAAGTATGACTAAGCAACTCCATTATGAACAAAAGATTTGAAACCTGTCCTACCTATCCTAACAGCCCTCCTAACAACATGTCCAATGTCTATGAAATGAAGCTTTGTCATCTTTGCCTCCAAGGAGTGCTCTGCTCTGGCTATACTTTCTCCAAGATGTATCTGTCTGCTCAACTATACAGCCTTCGTTCTGGACTCCTAGGGGAAGGGACTGTAAAACAACGAGAGAATTTTTCTTTTACTTTTCAAAGTTAAAGTACTGGGGGGAGGGGTAGGCAGGGAGAAAAGTGCAACAATGAATGAATGTAAATCCAAAGTCTCTGTAAATTTTCATTAAAATTAATAATAAAAATTTTTAAAAGATATATCTGTCTGTTCTTTTGGCAGTCCATGACATATTTAGTACTTGTCTCCAACACCATAACTCAAAGGTATCATTTATTCTTTTGTCAACTTTATCCATTGTCCAGCTCTCAGACACATAAACAAGTAATTGAAAAGATCATGGGGGGGAGATCATGGCCTGAATGAGATGCTCTTAACTCTTTATTATCACTTCTCCTTGGTATTTTGGAGAATATTTTGCAGACTTCTCAATACAACACATTTTTTTTTTATTTCTTGATTACTGGTACCAATAAGTGTTGATTGTAGATTCAAGGAATATGAAATTATTGATAATTTCTATCTTTTCTTCATCTATAATAGTGTTTTATCAATCCGTTGGTGAGGATTTTTGTCTTCTTGATGTTGTTTTAATCATTAATGAAGGCCATAGTCTTTGATCTAATGCAGCGTCTCAAGTCCTCCTCACTTTCAACAAGCAAATTTATGTCAACTACACAATGCAGGTTATTTATGAGTCTTCCTCCAAACCTGATGCCACATGCCTCTTTATAAAATCCACCCTTTTGATTTTTTTGCTCTGCATACAGACTGAATATGTATGGAGAAAGGATACAGCTCTGATGCAAATCTTTCTTGATTTTAAACAATTCAGTATTCCCATGCTCCATGTGGACAACTTCTTAAGTCTAAGATTGGTTCATATGAGCATAATTAAATGTTCTGCAATTTCCATTCTTCTCAAAGTTAGCCATAATTTGTTATAATCCATACATTCTAAAACTTTTGTAAGAAAGACACAAATAGACATTCCTCTGGTATTCTCTGCTTTCAGCCAAGATCTATCTGACATCAGCAATGATATCCCTGGTGCCACGGTCTCTCCTAAACCCAGCTGGAACCTCTGGTAGTTCTCTGTCAATGTAATGCTCTAGCCATTTTTTTATGATCTTCAGCAATATTTTGCTTTCCTGTGATATTACAATGTTTGATAATATTCACATTAGCTTATATAACAGGACAAAAATTTTTAAAACCCAACCCAATACTATTGAGTTGAATTCTAACTCATAACACCAGCATAAGACAGGGTAGATTTGGCTCATAGAGTTCCCAAGGCTGAAATGTTTGATAATATTCACATTAGCTTATATAACAGGACAAAAATTTTTAAAACCCAACCCAATACTATTGAGTTGAATTCTAACTCATAAAACCAGCATAAGACAGGGTAGATTTGGCTCATAGAGTTCCCAAGGCTGAATCTTCACTAAAGTAGACAGGCAAAATCTTTCTTCCACAGAGCAGTTGATGGGTTCAAATGGTTGACATTACAATTAGCAACCAAGTGCTTAAGAATACATTCTAGGATTTGGTTAAATATAAAAACTTCCTGCTGAGCACCCTGATTTTGCCATCTCCTGTTGACCTCCACAAATGTCCTAGTTTTTCTTACTCTAAAGATACTGTTCGATAATTTCCACACTCTGTTGGGTCACCTTTCTTTGGAATGGGAACAAATAAAGATCCCTTCCAGTCAGTAGGCCTGGTGGCTATCCTCCAGTTTTCTTGACACAACTTGGTGAGCACATCCAGGGCAGCATCTGTTTGTTGAAATATGTCAATCGGTATGCCATCAATTCCTGGGGCCTTGTTTTTTGCCAGTTTTTTTTAGCAGCTTGAATTTCTTCCTTCATCAATACAGGCCCTTTCTCATACGTTGTTTCTTCTGTGTCCACTAATTCCTTTTGGTACAATGACTCTGTATACTCTTTCCATCTTCTTTTAATGCTTCCTGGATCATTTACTATTCTGCCCAAAGCATCCTTAAGTATTGCAACTCGAAGTCTGAATTTGTTCTTCAGTTCCTCCAGCTTAAGAAATGCTGAGCGAGTTCGGCCCTTTTGATTTTCTTACTCCAGTTCCTTGCACATTTCATTCTAATACTTTATCTTCCTGCACTGCCCACTGGAATCTTCTGTTTAACTCCTTATTATCTTGATTTCTTCCCTTTGCTTTGGCTCCTTGGTGCCCCAGTGCAATATTTAGAGTTTCTTCTGACATCCATCTTGGTCTTTCCTTCTTCCTCTCTTTGTAATGACCTTTTGCACTCTTCTTGGATTATATTCTTGATATCCTCCCACAATTCATCTGGTCTTTGCTCTTTAATGCCCAAGGTCTCAAACCTGTTCCTGAGATGGTTTGGAAATTCAGGTGGGATAGACTCAAGGTCAAATTTTGATTCCTATGGACTTGATTTCATTTTCCTCAGCTTCAGCTTGAACTTGCATATGAGTAGTTGGTGGTCTGTTTCACAATCAGCACTTGGCCTAGTTTTCAGCGATTCTTTCCACAAATGTAATAGATCTGATTCCTATGCGTACCATCAGGTGAAATCTATGTGTATATCCTGCATTTATGTTTCTTATAAAATGTATTTGCAATGAATAAGTTGTTGCCTGTGCAAAATTCTATCATTCTACCTGTCTTAATTTCTGTCACCCAGTCCAAGTTCTCTGATCCTGATCCTTCTCTATTTTCAACTTTTGTATTCTAGTCACCCAGTATTATTAATGTATCTTGACTGCATGTTTGATCAATCTCTGACTGAAAAAACTGGTAAAAATCTTCTATTTCCTCTTCTTTAGCTCTGGTTGTGGGTGCATATATTTGAATTATGGTGGTATTCACTGAACTTCCTTGTATGCATATAGATATTATCTTGTCACACACAACATTGTATTTCAAGACGGATCTAGAAATGACTTTTTTAACTATGAAAGCAACCCCGTTTTTCCTCACCTTTTTGTCTACAGCATAGTAGATCATATGATCTTCTGACACAAAATGTTCCATGCTAGTCCATTTCATTTTGCCAATACTAGTATGTCAATATTTATGTGTTCCATTTCCATCTTAACAAGATCCAATTTTCCTACATTCATG